AGAAGCAATAGTAGCTGACCAATCATTAGGTTATCCCTGTAGTGTCCTTGATGCACAGGCCTTGGCCTTTGTATCTGGGTCTCAGACATGTCACATTGGAGCATCTCGCAGGAACAGAACATAGCCCCAGCTGCACTATCCTCTACCTGCCTTCTGGAGGCACTGTGGTGTGCCTGGCATATCTACCCTATGTGTTTTAGCAAGGCCATGAGTAACCCAAGCCATGTTTTTGATGCAGACATAGGAGTTTCAATTCTTCCAAAATTGCATAGGAATATTTGGAGTGTTAACAACAATAAGCACAATCTCAAAAGGCATATCATTCTCCAAATGCTACTTCTCCATTTCACTGGCATAGCAAGTGAGAAAGGCATCTTGCATGATGAGCTGTGTCATGCATGCCATCTTACTACTGTAGAGCATTGGTAATGTGGCTTCTTATAGATAAAGTTCTTTTAGACATCTGTTTTTACAATAGTGAAGTTTCATTTTCATTGAAGATCTGCTCAGACAACTGATTTTCATCCACAAACATCTTATTTAGCATTTCTGATAATCATTCAGCTGCCTTCATATAACCCTGTGCAGACTCAGTGCTCACTTTCACGTCATGTAATGAACAATGACTCTAGAACTGTTTAAACCACCTGAAGCTTGCTTTATGATCATCATCATAGTGGGGTCCACCCTTTAGACATATAAGATGAAATATATGCTGTGGCCATGATCCTCATGGGGCTGCAAGGAAGATTCTGATCTTTAGAAGTTTCTTCATATCAGATATACATCCTTCCTGAATTTTTGTTATCCTTTGGGATTCAATAATGTAGGGTTTTTTTATTTTAACAGTTTCCATTACTTTGTTCTTGTCCTTCAAGATGATAGCTATGGTGAAATGGGACATGAATTGAGAGAAATAACCATCACTGATGTGCCACATCAGTCCTATGTTGTGTTCTCTTTCATTTCCCTATCAACCACCAATATAGCCCCTTACTGATAACATTACAGAGGATTTTCTATTCTCAGTGGCCATGATGAATAAAACAACAGATTATCTCAAGCACAGGAGAAAATGGTGCAATCAAAAGACACAGTAAATAAGAGATGTGTGCTTTTACATTATAATGATACACACACAAATGCATATGGAATATACATTTAAATGATAAAATATACAGTAAATACAAAAATCAATCAGAGATATTTATTATAATTATCAATCATTATGTCCTATACATATTTTCATGTGTTATACTTTATGAAAAAGGCAGCAGATAAGGCTTACGTACACAGGCATTGCCACAAACTCTAGGGTTACAAAAGCATGGCTCCAAAATTACATGACACAAATTTTTTAGCTGCATTGTAATATTATTGTTTTTGAATTTTTAAATATTTATTGTTTAGTTTTCAGGGGACACAACATCTTTGTTTGTATGTGGTGCTGAGGATTGAACCCAGGCCGCACGCATGCCAGGCGAGCGCGCTACTGCTTGAGCCACATCCCCAGCCCCTGCATTTTAAATGTTATGGGAATACCTTCTTACATACAATTGGTTATTGATAGAAATGTTCTAACATAAAATATGATTTAATTTTTTTTAATATTTATTTTTCAGTTTTAGGTTTACACAATATCTTTATTTACATTTATGTGATGCTGACGATTGAACCCAGAGCCTCATGCATGCTACGCAAGCACTATACCATTGAGCCACCACCACACAGCTCCTGCTGGGGCTGGGGACATCTGACCTCATGCCAGGGCCCTTCTACGGCCCTTCCCTGACCTTGTCTGCTAGCCCGGGAGCACACACGTGGCCTGTCTGACCTGCCTGGATGCCCTGATTCCCACTGCCTCCAACCCCGTGCACTGCTGGGAATCCTGTGGTCTTGTGCCCTCCCTTCAATGCCTAACCCACTTATTCCCAAGTGCCCTGGGGAGCCAGAAAGACAGTGCCCACCCACAACCAACAGCATCCTGTTGCCCACTGGCCAGCTGAAATCACAACAGCTCATCATGGACCTTGCCTGAATGCACCCAGCATTTTGACCCAGCCACCACTGTCCCCCCTACTCCACCCTGTCCCATCTCCAACCAGCATTCCTCCCCCAATTTCCCTCACTATGATAGAATAAGCTGGAACATTTCACAAAATTTATTAAACAGAAACACTGAACCATTGAAGAGAAGGGCTGACAACACCTAAAGGGACTCTTCATGACCACTCGAGGCCACAGGTCCCGGGCCTCCCCCTCCTGGGGCTGCAGACGAAGAGCCGCCTCTGTCTCCACGCTGGGGTCCTCCCACCACAGTCTCCCTTTCTGAGGACCCCAGAACTGCCTCTTGCCAGGACAATGGCCTCTGGCAATTGAACACTCACTTCCATTCCGGGAGCTCCCTGAGGGGCTGACTTGCTGTGGGGTGGCCCTTGCCCTATGGCTGGCACAGAACGGTCACAGGACAGTGGAAAGCATAACAGGGAACACCCTCCCCCCAAGCCAAGGAAACTGAGTCACAAGGAACAACGGGGGTGGAACGTCCAAGCACAGTCCCTGGCCCTGCCCCTCCATCTAAGGTCCAGTGCTTCCTGCCCGAGGTGAGGCCGCGGTCTTGATCACCGAGGGGGTGAGCGTCCACCACGCCCTAGCCGTCCATCCTTCGCGCCGGCTCCCGCCTCCGACTCCTGGGGACTGGGCTCAGGGCCTCCTGGGAGGAGCTGCTCAGATAAGAACACAGACACACACACACACACACACACACACACACACACACACACATCTCCACGAGAACAAGCGGCAGGCAGGCAGCTGGCCTAGATCTACACTGAGAAAGCAGAGGTTGAGCTCACGACACTGGACAGGAGCGAGCAGAGCCTTGGCTCGCCCGGAAGCTCACGGCACGTGCCCGGGCCTGGAGGTGGCCGGCCGCGAGGGCACAGTCCTCTGCCCGGGGTTGACACACACCTCACGGCTTTGCACAGGAACGGTGGCTAGCGTGGGGGTGGGCGTTTGCTTGAGGTGGGTCACTATGGGGCTTACAGACAAGGTGGGCCTCCAGGGACAGGGACAGGAGCACCCTGCCCCGGGGACGGTGAATCGGGTTGGGGTTTTGCCTGTTGGGAGAGCCAGGCAGCTGGCACCCTTGAGATGGACTCTCTTCCCCGACGTCTCCCAGTCCGGTGCAGGTGGCAGGTGACCTCAGCCCCTCTCCCCACTTTCAGGCCTGCAGCCCTAGACTGGCAGGGTTTGGGTTTGGGGCTTCCATGAGGAGGGGCACCTCTCCTCGCTCCATCTGGTGGAAAATATGGTCTTTGGGGTCACTGGAAAAGTCTGGTGGCGGTGGTGGCCATGGCCCCTTTGGGAAGCTGGGGGGATCCAGGGGCTTGGTTTGGGCAGGGTGAGCCCTTCCCTGGGCCCTGCTCCTGATGTGGGGTGACGGTAGGCCCTGGCGCGAGTCCTGCCCCTCCCTCCAAGGCTCTGCTGCCTGAGAGGAGAGGAGCCCCTGGGTCTTCTGAGCCTATTCACCTGGGGCAGACTCGGGGTGGCCAGTCTCCCCAGCCCCATCCTCATTTCCTGACTCCTCTGGGATGTCCTTGAGCCCCTCCAGCACGGGCTCCTCAGCTTCCTGCTCTTCTGCCTGGGCCAGGCTCTCTGGCCCACAACCAGGCCCTCCTGGGCTGGCATCAGAAGCACTGCCCATCTGAGCTGGGGCAGGGCCTCCTGGGGCCTCAGTGGGTCCTGCCTGGCCTGGGCCCACAGGAGCATGATCATTGCCTTGGTCTTCCCTTTGCCCCTCCTCCTCCTCCTCCTCCTCCTCCTGCTCCTCCTCCACCACCACCTCTTCCTGCTGCTGCTGGTCCACCTCCTCTTCCTCCTTCTCCACCTTCTCATCCTCTGCATTAGCACTGGCCCTGGCATCTGCCTGGGCATCAGCGGGGGCACCAGCCCCTTCCTCTGCCGGGGCCCTCACGCTCCCGGCTAGACTGGCCTCCCATGCCTCAGACTCACGAACTAGCCCCAGCATTTCCAGGAATGTGGGAGACCTCCCAACCATTCTCAGCTTCCTCAGGGCTTCATCCAGAGGCTCGATCAGGTTGGCCCTGGTGAGCACCTGCCTCAGGCGCACGTGGTCAGCAGAGGCCCTGGCCAGGGCCCCCTTCTCGATGGCTTTCTGCAACAGGACTTCCAGCCGCAACACAAAGGTGGAGAGACGCTCGCCTGACCGCTGCTGAGCAGTCAAACACTTCACCCGGATGGTGGCCTGGGACTCGTTGTCTCCAAATACCTGTATCAGGGCCGCCAGGCAGTCCTGCGCAGTCCTGGCCGGATTCTCCGCCAGGAGCCCATGCACGAGCTGCAGGGCAGTCCCTCTCAAGCCTTCGATCAGCCTCCTCCTCCTCTCCCTTTCAGAGACCCCCTGCCACACATGCAGCATGTCAGTGGTGTGGTCTAGCCAGGCCTCAAAGGACTCCTCCCCAGGGGCTGGCTGGTCCCTCCCAGAAAACAGGCCCAGGCGCTGGTATCTCACGGTTTCCACCCAGGGCTGGATCGCCTGACTGACAGATCGGAGCCAGCACACCCTGCGCAGCCCCAGACCCAGCGCACCGGCCACGCTTTCCACTGTCTGCCCCTGTTGCTCCAGGAAGTGGAGCACGCGACCGAGAAACTCCTCGCCTGAGCAACGGGGCACAAAGACCACGTTCCAGGGGCCCCCGGTGCCTGGGATTTCCCTAGGGACCAAAGCATAGTTGACTTCCCGGTCGAGCTCGACCAGGGCCGCAGTGGCGTTATCCTCCTCGCGAAACACTTTGCCCAGCACGGTAAAGTGGCCCATAGGCCACAGGGCAGCCTCCAAGGACTCTTGGAATTCAGCTTCATCACAGTCCTCCGGGATGCCCAGGATGAGCAGGCCCCTGCGAGCGTTGACGCCCATCCACCTGCACCAGTCCTGCAGCATCGTCACCGCCATCGCCCACAATTTCGGCCCACGCGGGGCTGATATTAGGGGCTGACCAGGCTGGCACTGGGGGAAGACACCCAGGGGCGGGAGCCTAGGAATCGGGGAGAGCAGCCCAGGTGTCCACAACCTGTGAATGCGAACGGGGCGACAGCGAGGTTAATGCCCCACCCCCCACTCCCACCCCAGCCGCCCCTCGTGCCCCGACC